CCATTGAGTTCCTCAGCACTCTCTCCATCAAGTTTATGTGCGAATTTCACCTCGACAAGCCCGAAGACAACATAACTTTTCGCCTTGGAGGACAGGCGAGACAGATGAGCATCACTGAGTTCACAGAGGCACTCCAGATATACCCACCAGGATTTCTCACTACAGGTCATGGTTTGATTTCAGAGAAAGTATATTCACCAAGAGCACAATTGGTCGATGCTATATGGAAAAGGGTAAAACAAAACCATGTGGACAAGTCTGACACTGCCCACTATAAAGGGAATGATCTTCTTCCCCCATGGCGTATCATCCACAACATTATCGCTCATTCTGTGGCAGCTAGGGAGGGGAGCCCGGGGAGTGTGACCAAGCGGGATTTGAACTTTTTCCTCTCTATGGTAAAAGATCCCCCAATTCATCTTGGTTTAGTCATACTGAAAACCCTACAGAAGATGACCTCCAACAAACAAATCAAGACCATCCATGGAGGTGCCTACATCACAAGGCTAGCTCGGCATTTTGGCATTGATCCGGTGGGTTCTCATTGCACCATTGCCCAGTCCACTCAACCAATCTCCCAAAAAAACCTTGCGGATCTATATTTGTTGTCAAAGGTAAATGTTCCAACCAACACTTTCCTTTTCACAGTGAATGCTAAAACAGAACTAGTCGGGATTCAAACAATCTAGGATTGATTTTGTGCAAGTTTTGGATTGCCTACTAATCTAGTTCCTTTTGAACATTGAGCAAATGTAACTAATGCTTCTGATATTGATCATGTCTGTGTTTGGTGGTTAAGGAGAATGGTGTGGTAGGCATTGTTGGCCTCCCTCATCCTGCTCCACCTCTTGCAACAGATGAGGCAAACGCATCGGAGCATGTTGTTCAGCAAATGGTCGAGGAGTCTCCGCAACAACCTGCACAACATCACCAAACTACGACTCAAGCCGGACCATCCACCGACAGATACATTTCCCATTTTGAGGCATTGGGTCGGCAGAATGCCCAAATTCTCGAGCAAAATGCACTCATTCTCTCCCGCCTCGATCGAGAAAAGGAAGCTCGACGCTACATCATCAAATGCAACCATCACATCATGAGGTCCTTGAGGATTGACTACAAAAAATTCTCAACACCTTGGGAACTATCTCCTAGGCCAACCGAGGAAAGCAATGAAGAGGGAAGTGAAGAGGACGACGAGGGGAAGGACGATGAACAAAACAAGGAAATAAATCAAGAGGACAAAGGGACCGATGAGGAAGAGGGCAGTGAAGAGGACGACGAGGGCAACGGCGATGAACAAAACAAGGCAATAAATCAAGAGGACAAAGGGACCAATGAGGAAAAGGAAAGTGAAGAGGAGGACGACGAGGGCAACAACGATGAACAAAATAAGGAAACAAATCAAGAGGACAAAGGGACCAATGAGGAAGAGGGCAGTGAAGAGGAGGAAGAGGGCAGTGAAGAGGAAGACGAGGGCAATGGCGATGATCAAAACAAGGAAAGAAATCAAGAGGACAAAGGGACCAATGAGGAAAATGGCAGTGAAGAGAAGGACGACGAGGGCAATGGCAATGAACAAAACAAGGAAAGAAATCAAGAGGACAAAGAGACCAATGAGGAAGAGGGCAGTGAAGAGGACGACGAGGACAATGGCAATGAACAAAACAAGGAAAGAAATCAAGAGGACAAAGGGACCATTGAGGAAGAGGGCAGTGACTCTAGCGAGGACAATGAAGATGAGCAAATCCAGCAAAACGAAGACGAGGACGAGAGCACTGAAGATGAGCAAATCCAGCAAAACGAAGACGAGGACGAGAGCACTGACGAGGAAGATGGGCAGTGAAGATGACCCAACAAAAGTCCTTAGTACTTAGCTATGTGTGTTTGCGTTTGTGCTTGTATGTTTTCCAATTAGAATATGATGATGCACTAGTGTGGGCTACATGCAGCTAAACTTAAGCATTAATTAGACAGATTTAATCGTGTTATGGATGCTTGTTTTATTAGACAAATGTAATGCTTTGACTGCGTTTTACTTTTTGTTAACAGGGTATCTCATCTGATATGATGTACAGTTACTAGAGAACATTGTGAATGGATCTATGTAATGCTCGTGTCAAGGTTTAGAGAACATTATGAATCATCTTTTTCATAAGTTTGAAGTTCTGGAAAAAAGTCCATTCTGTTTGAAACACCATTATAATAAGTACACGGGATAGTTCAACAGGTGAAAGTCTCCTACTGGAAATCTGACACCTTATATTGGTAATCTCACGACCGTAAAATACTCAAGTGAGATGTAAAAAGCAGTGCTTCATTCCTCAGGCAAATATCACGGCCGTGAGATGTCCCGTGAGATGCAAAGAGCAGTTCTCACTATCCCAGGAAATTTCACGGCTACTACTTGACATTGTCACGCCCGTCAAAATCTCACATTCTAGAGTTGTACCTTTACACTAAACTTAAAGTTGTACCTACACTTTCCTAAAAATCTTCTCTGGTACAATTCACAATTGTACCTATACACTATGGTACAACATTCTACACTTTCTAACAAATCCCTTTATGGTACAACTAAAAATTGTACCTATACTAATGGTACAACCTTAAGTTGTACCTACACTTTCTAATAAATCCCTTTATGGTACAACCCAAACTTGTACCTATACGAATGGTACAACTTTAATTTGTACCTACACTTTCTAAAAATCCTTCTATGGTACAACCCAAACTTGTACCTATACTATGGTACAACTTTAAGTTGTACCTACACTTTCTAATAAATCCCTTTATGGTACAACCCAAAATTGTACCTATACTAATGGTACAACCTTAAGTTGTACCTACACTTTCTCCAAATCCAGCTATGGTACAACCCAAACTTGTACCTATACCATGGTACAACTTTAAGTTGTACCTACACTTTCTAACAAATCCCTTTATGGTACAACTAAAAATTGTACCTATACTAATGGTACAACCTTAAGTTGTACCTACACTTTCTCAAAATTCTTTTATGGTACAACTAAAAATTGTACCTATACTAATGGTACAACCTTAAGTTGTACCTACACTTTCTCAAAATTCTTTTATGGTACAACCCAAACTTGTACCTATACCATGGTACAACTTTAAGTTGTACCTACACTTTCTAACAAATCCCTTTATGGTACAACTCAAAATTGTACCTATACTAATGGTACAACTTTAAATTGTACCTACACTTTCTAATAAATCTCTTTATGGTACAACTCAAATTTGTACCTATACTAATGGTACAACCTTAAGTTGTACCTACACTTTCTCAAAATCCTTCTATGGTACAACCTAAACTTGTACCTATACTATGGTACAACTTTAAGCTGTACCTACACTTCCTAAAAATCCTTCTATGGTACAACCCAAACTTGTACCTATACCATGGTACAACCTTAAGTTGTACCTACACTTTTTCAAAATTCTTTTATGGTACAACCCGAACTTGTACCTATACCATGGTACAACTTTAAGTTGTACCTACACTTTCTAACAAATCCCTTTATGGTACAACTAAAAATTGTACCTATACTAATGGTACAACTTTAAGTTGTACCTACACTTTGTGAAACAAATTCTTCAATGGTACAGCTGAAACTTGTACCTATACTATATGGTACAACTCTAATTTGTACCTACACTTGTATACATTGATTCATTATTACAAGATTGCCATTAATGATGTGGGACCAGTCATTTAGTGGGTTACCTCCTCAACAGGTCACCTTTTTTTTTTGTTTTTTATAGCATGGGTGCTATAGAGCACACTAGAAGGGCTCTGGTTTTAACAAGACGTTATGAATGAAAGTACATCGGGGTACTATGAAATCTTTATACTTATAATGGATGTCCATTAGACCACCTACTCAACCACCATCTCCTAGCTCTCACAAACGCAATTGAAGGAGGAGAATGCATCTGCAAAGCACCAGCTAGTGCCTTTATAAAAGGCAAAATTGTAGAAGCAAATGACACACACATAAGAAGCTCTCTTTCTCTTGTTTGTACCATTCTATTTCTTGTATCTAGTTGTAATTAGTGTTTTTCATTTGGTTTTGGTTTTTTGGTTTTAACCGAAACCAAACCAATTGGAAAGCTAATAGTTTCAGTTTTTCGGTTTTAAACCAATAAGCAACGTAATGGTTTTGGTTTAGTTAAAATCAAAAAACCAATAGAAACCATTAAGAAACCAATAAGAATAAATTTTTTTTTATCAACAAATATTTTTGTTTTGTTTTTTTTACACGCATGCCAACCAATAATTTGTAATGGCCATTTACCATTATTATGACGTTTATTCAATAAAAAGGAGTAAAATTGGAATAAATATGAGTGTATGAGTACATGTTGATTTTTTGGTTTTTGAGATTTGGTTTTTGGTTTTTCATACTTAATGGTTTGGTTAACCAAACCAAACCATATTGACAGCCCTAGTTGTAATATGTGTTCGAAAGTATGAAATAAAAGCAATGTTATTCCTTCTCTTCTCCTTAATGTTTCAATTGTGTTGCATCATTCCCATTTCCGGAACAATTATTTATAACAACACACATATAATCTTATATTTACAATGTTGGACACAAATATAGATGATGAACTATAGTTCCGTCTATAGTACCAAGGGCTAAAACTTTATAATATTATTAGTGATTTGGCTATTTTTTGCGTTTTATAAAGTTTTTGTTAATATTTACAAATCATTTAAAATTTTACTAATAAATTGTAGTTATTCTAGAATTAATTAATATATTAATAATGAAAATATGATAAGAGTCTAGGCACCACCAAGTCCAACACTCCGAATAGTGTGGCAGCTAATAAGCTAAAGTAAACTTTAATGGCTCAAATTGGGAACGAAACTTTAGTTGATGGCCAAATTAAGCTTAGTTTGAACTGTAGTGACCTTTTTGGAACTTTACCTTAACTATATAATATCACAAACTCGATGCTGGGAAGGAAAAAATATTACAATTTGCAGATCCCCAATTCTCTGCCTTCAGCCCTCAATCTAGGGTTTCTCTCGATTCGAAAGTAACAAAATCCAATCCACTGTTCTTCTTCTTTTCTCTCCATCCTAGTTGAAATCCTCTTTGCTGTCAAAGATGAACTCAACTCTTATCCAGTCGAGTTTTGATTCTGACTGCGACCAGATGGTCAGCACTGAATCGATTCCTCGTTTGAGCACCTCCGCGTATGAAACACCTGATTACGGATCTGGAGCCAAGAGGCAGAAGGTCAAAGAAGACGACAAGAAAGTCAAGGGTGGCGACGGCGACGTGCTGGTGGAAACCGAAGATGATGATTCTGACGAGATTGAGGATGGCGATGATGAAGATGATTTCATGGAGGTCAAACAGTATTCCCCGAAGGTGACGATCTGGGAGAGCTGTTCGGAAGATGACGAAGGCTTCCAACGCTACCTTAGTAAAGTTATTGACAGCGAGGTTTAATTAGGGTTCTTGTTCATCATCGATCTATTTAATTTCCACCCAATATTATGTGAAGTTCGTTCTCTTTTTGTTGCTTTGCTCGTCTTCATGTGTTACGTTGCTGTGTTATTCCATTTTCAGGGTTTTGATTTGGACGAAGACCCTCTAGATGAGTACCCTTTCACTGGTTTCACGGTGTGTAGGGTCAACTTTGACCATCCCGAGCACGCCCATCACAAGGAATTTGTTCCCAAGTGCATCCAGACTGCTATTCAGCAACAGCACGAACCTGTCTGTCATTAGCTCATTGTTCTGCTTTTGATCATGAGTTTCCATTCTAATTTTCCGCATGCAATCACAACGCTCTACTCTTCTATTTTGCAGCTGACGTACGTTAAGACCTTGACTGCAAATTATGCGGTAGAAGTTGGTTACATCTATTTCATTACATTTCTGGCCAAGAAGAATTCATCATCGGAGGTTAAAACTTACCAAACCGAGGTTTCACATGACCTTTGGGGTGGGATGGTGGTAAATAAATTCCGGGAGAAAGCCCAGTGATCGAGGTAGCATATCTAGACTTATTTTCTTTAATTCCTGCATATATCTATTTATCTTTGTGATTCCTGACTATTGTGGGTGCCAGACCGCCTGTCTGGTCAAGTTGAACGAACATTAATGCCAAGCTAGCTGTTTAGCATGCAGTCTGCAGTGCCTTTATTTCCCACTTGGATATGTATTCATGAAGCAGACTCTTGCATCCATCGATAGTGATTGTTTAGGCTTTCTGTTTACTGCAATTCAAGGAATTGAACATTAGTTTGATATATTTTCTGCACTTGCATTCAGAACTGGATCAATATGCATTCAATGGTTCTCATATGATTGCTGTCATTTTCCTGTGATCGTACCCGTCAAATGGGTTGCTATTCATATTGTGATTTGTAAGTTTGAGTTACATCCCATATACCTTCCGATTGGTTATGTGGCATTACTTTCGAATCTTGCATCATAGTATGGGATTTTGTTGGTTGTGAGTTTCCACAAGTGTTCACTATTGAGATGAAATCATAAGATACAATATCTACCTTGGGCAGAATCATAACTTATTTCTTCTCTTCAGTATCCGAGTCATTGATTTATGAACATTTCTGCATTTCATATTAGTATTTGTAAGAATTATCGATCATGAGTGTAGGTAGTGGCGGACCCAGGAATTTGATCTAGGGGTGTCCCGTACAAAAATATATATAAAAAAAATCATAAATAAGATAATATCCAACTATAAGTTATTACAATATACCTCGGTGTGTTTTCATGTTCTAAAAATATTGTAAAACACACTCGGTGTCTATAGTGATCAACATATATCTTTCTATATATCCTACCAAACAATCATTCACAAACTAGTCACCAGTTCGATTTTGAAGCTTGTTTTTTTATGGAACACAAAGCTGAAAAAGCTCTTTCAACACTTGCAGTGGCAACCGATATTATCAATACCAGTTTGAGTAGCAAATATACCCATCAATATCATAGATACATTGTGGTCTTCACCATCAACTGAACTAATTCATCAATTCTTTTTAATCCACGTTATAGCTCGTCATTCTTAACACAATGATAATAATTCTGAAAGTCCCGTAGAAGAAAAGAGTAAGAAAAGTGAACAAATTCACTAGGATAAAATTGAGTACAACTTACCATATTCTTCTTGTCAAAAGCAGCAAACTAGTACTCAGCTCATCAAAGCGGTTGTTTAACTCTTGCAGTTGCATATCAAGAATAGAGTAAAATAATTCAACTTGATAATGATGCAAGTTTGTGATATGTGGAGCATTGCGTCTTGACTGTCCCGGAAGAACATACTCATCATCCATACTAAGAACATGAATATTCTTTACTGCAAAAAAAGCAGATAACATCCTCAAGTAGAGACTCCCATCCTCGATCTCTCATCTCTTGTAATATAGTCTTTCCCACACGAACAAGTTTCATAGCATTTACAATTTCCTTATCTTTCCTTTGCAATGCTAGGGACAACTCATTCGTAATTGCTAACACTTCAATCATCAACGTGAAAATAAAGACAAACTTGAAATCTTGAATTGTAATCGACATCTGCCATGCCTCGCTAGCTGTTGGATCATTTTCAATTTCTCTCCGACGCATCAATAATAGTAGGAAACAAGTCCTCAAATTTGAGAAGTGCTCCATAGTAAGAACCCCACCTAGTATCACTTGGCATTTTGAGACACTATTCTTTATTCAAGTTCAATGGACAATTTTCAACACTTGGAAGTTCTCTGCATCGGCAACAAGTTGAATGGACAGCAAGTTGAACCGAAATTTGAACAATGAAATTATGAAACAGACTTGAGCACTGAGTAGGGGAAGCCGTGAAGGACTTAACTTACCTCTTTACCGGAGACTTGACCCTTGAGCAGGGGAAGTCAGCACATCTTGTTCTTCAATCGTCGAAGGACAGCGGGACTTGGGATTGGAGAGAATAGAAGACGGCGGGCAAGAGAAAAATACCACAACTTGTTCGGCCAACGAAGGATGGCGAGACTAGGAGAGAAGAGTATGCAGCTTGATTGCGAGAAGAGCAGACGGTGGCATGGGCGCACGACGACACCGAGTCGCCAGCAGTAGCTCGTTGTCTCGATAGAGGGGGCGCCCCTTTCATATATATAGCATAAACCAACAAATCAATTAATTTTAGGGTTCGTGAGGAATTTTAGATAACTGGACTTAAACGTCTGGCAATAAAAATATTTACGTTTGAATTCATACAAGGACTGTGATATAGTCTAATGGTAAGCAACTACAGGTATTACAACAATGTCCTCGTTGCAAATTCTAGAAGAAGAAAAAACAAGAGTGTTGGGCTCGCAAAGTAGATTCACTCGGCAACATCAAAGAAGTTTCTTTCGATCCCCAATTCTCTGCCTTGAGCCTTCAATCTATGGTTTGTTTCGATTAGAAAATAACAAAATCCAATCCAGTGTTCTTCTTCTCGATCACCTTTCTCTCCTTTTCCTAGTTGTGATCCTCTTTCCCGTGAAAGATGAACCAAACGCCTATCCAGTCGAGTTTTGATTCCGACGGCGAGCAGATGGTCAGCTCTGAGGCGATTCCTCTCTCGAGCACTTCCGCAGATCAGATGAACACCTGGTTTCGGTTCTGACGCAAAGAGGCAGAAGGTCGAAGAAGACGAGAAAGTCAAGGGTGGAAGCCGAAGATGATCTCACTGACGAGATTGAGGATGGCGATGATCGATGAAGATGATTTCATGAAGGCTACCAACGCTACGTCAAGAAAATCATTGATAGCTTGGTTAGTTATTTAGGTTTCTTCGATTCTTCATCATCGATCTATTTAATTACTTTCCTTTCGACCCAATATTATGTGAAGCTCTCCCTCTTTTTTTTCTCCTTTGCTCATCGATCTTCATGTTTTGCTGTCCTTGTTAGGGTTTTGATTTGGACGAAGACCCTCTAAATGAGTACCTTTTCCCTGGTTTCGGAGTGTGTAAGGTAAGGTCTACTTTGATGATCCTGTCTGTGATTGCTCTCCTTTTTCGTTCCTGAGCTTCCGTTGTAATTTCTCGCATGCTATCATAACACGCTCTAGTAGTAGTACTCTCTCTATGTTGCAGCTGACGTACGTTGATACATTGAGTGCGAATTATGCAGTAAATATTGTCTTCGTCTATTTCATTACATTTCAAGCCACGCAGAATTCAACATCAGAGCGAGCTCAAAACCTACCAAGCCGATCGAGGTTTCGCATGACATTTGGGGTGAGATGGAGGTAGCTACATTCCAGGAGAAAGCCCAGTGATCGAAGGTAGCATATTCAAGACCTAGATATTTGCTTTCCTACTTAATCTATGTATCTTTGTGCATCTTGCGTCTTTGCGTTAGTTTGACATTTGTTATGCATTTGCATTCAGAACTACTGTTTCAATGTGCACTCACACTGTTTCTCATGATTGCTGTCATTTTTCCTGTGATCGTGCACACTTAAATGTGCTGTGATTCATATTGTAAGTTTCAAGTTTGAAGAGTATTGATCGAACACGGCAAATGTGGAAGCATTTTAGTAGTGCCTTCCAAATTTATCTCTTTCTCTTCCTCTCTTACTAAGAAGATCAAGGGGAGAAGAATAAATTATTCACTTCTTCATTTAACGATTCTTCTTTCATGTTCTCTAGTATTAATTGCCACAAATAATTTTGTCGGAGACGTAAGGCACCCCAGAGAATTTCGATGTTCTTCTCCAGTTGATTTAGTCGCTCTCTTCGTACCCTGAATTAATCTTCTTCCCATTCACGGCTTTGAATCCACTGGAATATCGTTTTGCAGCCGTATTAATCTAATGAAAATTAATTTCCTCTCACATATCTATGGAGAAAAATAGTAGGTAAATCGTCTTCTTCTGATCCATACCCTCATTACTCAGGCAGTTCAAGCTGTTACAGAACTCTCAAACAATGTTTTTGTGGCTTTTCTTATCGTTTTCACAAGTATGTCTTATGTGTTGCATTTTGTTAATTTTGTATCATGCAACACATTTACTATGTTTCACGCGCGGCGAAGCACAAGCACAAGCAAATGCGTTTGTGACAACTTTTCTTTATATTCCCGATCATTAGATTTGCCTTTATTCGATCTCCTTCAATTCCCGATCATTAGCAGAGCTCGAGACCACCGCGCGTTGCAGCTGCATTGTTGATGTTATCGTGCTGGGTCTCCTACCCACAATTGCCTTTTACAATTTTGTCATCCCTACCTGGAGTTACTTTACCAATTACCAGTCCTACAAACCCATCCATATGTCTAAAGGTGGGAAAAAAAGGAGAAGCAGCCATCATTTATAAGGTAAATGAAGTATGTAAAATCTACCTTAAATTTCCGAAACATTTATAAAATTAGGACTTTGTTAAAGTGACTTACAAATTTGTACCTACTTAACTCACGTTCAATGTATCTATTCAAAAGCTTGAAGCTACTACATTCATTTTTACTCAAAAATCTTGTACTCAGCACAATGAATTTCTAAAGTTTTTCCAAATAAATTTTAGAAATACATAAAATAAAAAATCAAATTGTAAATACCTTTTGCGTAAGTTCACATGTTTCCTTTGTTCATTGTTACACTTACACAATTACAATTTAAGGTTGATTTTATACAAATCTAGTAATTACACTAATGATTGTGCGACATATACCAAAATCGAGAGTGTACCATATACCCACTCATGAGTCATAACTATAGACAAACCTGAAATCATCACTCTTCAACTTGCAAACGATTAATTAAAATACATGTAAACATTGTAACATATCGAGGGAATACAACAAATCAACAATTGCTAGTGTTTGGGTTCCTTGCGTGCCTATTATACTACTTTAGTTCAAACCTCACACTGCCACCGATTGAAGAGAATACAACGTATCTAACTGTAGCTGAATTTGGCAAAGTGGTACCTTAACATGAAGCGCCCGCAAATTCATATCCTTCCATCGGATATTCGCCAACCACCACCTTCTTAGAATCTTTACAACAATCAGTCTTACCCTTCGTCTACAATAATTTCTCTAGATCTAGGTATTTGCCTTTAACTTTCTCTGAAGCAGGAGGAGTCGTACCCGTCTACCGAGAACCGAATGACCAGCCCTACAATACACTAGAGTTGTATAGAACAATGTATGACAGTAGAATGGGAGGCTCATAATGGCCATCCAAAAAAGGAAGAATCGAACAATTTTCTCTTAAAGAAGATTCGCTCTCGAATTTTTATAGAATCTCGATCTCTGGTTAGTACTTGACTTCTTGATTTTCAAACGAAATTGTCGTGGTAGTGAGCATCGTATTATTTATCGAAAGTATTACACCAAAGAACAATAGTGGTGACCATTAGCATAACTAAAAATCCCCAACAGCTGCCGCTAAGAGAGCTATTTTTATTCCATGATCATCATTGATAACACCCTCCACAACATACTGAATACATGCACAAATCACATCAACAATATTAAATTATAACCATTACACATGCTCATATATCATTAGAAAGGGAGATGAGAAAACAACAACAGTGACCGAGAATCAACATAGCAGCAATAACTAATTATGTCCCTTGGCGGAGATCCATTTGAGGTTTGCTTCTGGAAGGAGTCAACATATTAGAGCTTGAGTATTAGAGATATTATTATGATATAGTACGAGTACTATTTGTATGATTTTTCATAGCTGCCTAATCTGTATTAGTTTGGGTTTCCATGTTAGAGTTCTACAAGGAATGTGGTTTCCTTTTTAGTATTAGAGTTCTATCATGGAAGTCATTGTACTCTATATAAATTTTAGGTGGTTTTAGTTATAATAGTACAACGGGTTCCATCGAATTCTAATTTATCAATAAAATACGTATCCAACCATTACGGTTGTGACTAGAGGTGGCAAATGGACTGGAGTGATGGATTGATGGTGAAATGGATTGGATCATATGCATTAGCATATTAATGGATTAATTCAAGTGGATTGGTGGACTGATCCATGAATCTAGGTGACATTCCAACCTTTAGATCGATATGTAACATTTTAGGTACCGAACCATAATTTTCCAAAGCAAGAAATTCCTATACATGCGCAAATGCTTTATCTAACTTGAGAGTAGTGCATAAGGATTGTGCACCTTGATTAACAAAACGGTTAATAAATACACATGTTGATATGACTTGAATCGGATTATCAGCCGCTACGACTGGTAATCGGGGGTCTCGACTGAACAACCATTTCCTTTGCCATATTGGATTAGGTTTAGACCCACATGGAGAAGTACTATAAATACTTCTCATACTCCTCTGTAATCTGTAATCTCCTTGATATAGTGAAACTAGATCTCTCTCGCCCGTGGATGTAGCTAACACACATCGTGTTAGTGAACCACGTAAATCGTGTGTCGTGTTTTCGATTCTTGCTTTCGTATTCTTGCTTTGTCGATTCCGGCGATTTCCCGATCCGTAGCAGCGCGTTTATAACAAGTGGTATCACAGCCGCGGCTGGAAATCATGCTAGGGTTTTCGATTCAGAAGAATGACGTCGGTGAACATGAAGATCGAAAAGTTCACGGGGAAGAACAGCTTTGCTATATGGCAGATCAAGATGCAGGCTTTATTAAAACAGCAAGGGCTGTGGGGGCCGCTGTCTGCGAAACAGAAGAAGGCAGCGGTCGATGACGATGAGTGGAATACCCTGGAGGAGAAGGCCCACTCGACCATCATGCTATCATTGTCTGATGACGTCATCATTGAAGTCGCTGCTGAGAAGACTGCCGCGGGCTTGTGGTTCAAGTTGGAGAGTCTGTATATGACGAAGTCCTTAACCAACAAGCTGCATCTCAAGCAACGGTTGTTCAGCTTGAGGATGCAAGAAGGTACGCCTTTGAGGGAACATCTCGAACAGCTTAACTCTATTCTGCTGGATCTGCGTAATATAGATGTTCAAGTTGATGACGAGGATGCTGCCCTAATCCTGCTGGTTTCTTTGCCGAGTTCATATGAGAATTTTGTTGATTCTTTTATTGCTGGTAAAGAAAGCGTGTCGTTGGAGGATGTCAGGTCTGCTCTTCATACGAGAGAGATCAGACATAAGGCATCTGGATCTGGTACAGGTGGTGAGGCATCGGGTTTGGCTGTTACAGGTGGAAAGGGAAAGAAGAAATCTGGTAAAGGGAATTCGAACAAGAATTCCAAGGGTCCCGGTCCACAGCCAGGTGATGCTTGTCACAACTGTAAGGAAGTGGGGCATTGGAAGTACAACTGTCCCAAGAGAAGAGGGCAACAGAAGAAACAAGGTTCAGTTGCCGTGGCAGAAGTGGACAACAGTTCTGAAGACGATCTCGCCTTGGCTGTAGATGAGAAGACACATCGTGGGGATGTGTGGTTTCTGGATACTGCAGCCTCATACCATATGTCTCCGAACAAGAATTACTTCACAATCTATGAGCAGATAGATGGTGGTAACGTGGTCATGGCTAATGGAGCTGTCTGCAAGGTTGTTGGAATCTGGTCCATAAAGGTTCGGACACATGATGGTTCATTCTGTACCGTGAATGATGTCAGACATGTTCCACGAATGACAAAGAACCTGATCTCCTTGAGTCTACTCGACAGCAAGGGTTTCAGTGTCAAAGGAAAAGGTGGAGTTGTGTATGTCTGCAAAGGTTCAAGGAAGGTGCTGAAGGGCGTGAAGCATGGGACCTTGTATGCATTACAAGGGTATGTGTTGTCTGGTTCTGCTGCAGTTGCATCATCTCAGGTTCATCAGGAAGATATGACCACTCTCTGGCACATGAGATTGGGGCATATGAGTGAACTAGGGATGCAAGTTCTGTCGAAGAGGGATCTTCTTTGCGGGCACAAGATGCAGAATTTGGAATTCTGCGAGCATTGTGTGTTTGGGAAGCTACATCGCAGCAAGTTTCCCAAGAAGGGTATCCACCGGACGAAGGGGATACTAGATTACCTCCACTCTGACTGTTGGGGTCCTTCACGAGTTGAATCCATTGGAGGCAGCAGGTATTTTCTGTCTATTATTGATGCTTATTCGAGATTTACTTGGATTTTCATGATGAAGCAGAAAAGTGAGGCTTTCACGAAGTTCAAGCAGTGGAAGACATTGGTGGAGAATCAGACCGGGAAGAAGA